GGCGGATCATCCCTCAATATCTCTTCCATAGCATCATCGAAGAGGCGGTAACGATAGACAAATATCTCCGTGGTCTTTCCCTCACACAGTTCAGAGTAATTTTGAAGGTCAAGCATTCGCCCTCGCTGTAACCTTCGCCTGAACTCCCCTAAGACTGTAACAGGCTCGTCACAAGTAGCCCTGAAATAAATTTGAAATGATCAAAGAGGCGTAACGCCCGTGAACTTTGAATAATTCCCAAAAGTATGCCGGTAACACCTGTATTAAACCGGTCTACTAACGAGCAGTCGGCCCGATTGTATTTAGCTTCTTACACTGATAGTTGAGTGCCAAAGTCAAAGTAGTAAAATCAACCAACGGATCTCTGCACATAAAAGGTTGTGCTTAGAGATAATTTCCTCTCCTCTGATTGGTCGATGTATTAACTTTGGCTTTGGTTTCAAGACACGCAATCGAAATGCACTATTAGGAATTCTATTACTTTCTATCTATGCGAACGACCGAGAAAATGGCTCTAACCAATTGTAAATAGCCCGTTCCCCATCTCTCTGGTTAAAAAAGCACAGGACATAATATTCGTGTTTTCGTGTCTCAAGCGAAATTATTAGTTACTTCTTAGATGTTTCCCTTAACATGTAAACGGGCTTAAATCCTAATATACCAGTTTCATTTCATTTTTAGTACTGAGACTCATTATATTTTTATTTGCTTGCTCTTTTTGGTGCGTACACGTTCAAACGCAAATAATTTAGTGTTTAAACCAGTAAAAGGTGAGTTTGATTCAAAGGTTTTGCGCATCCTCAATGCACATATTTATAGTGCAAAATCGTTGCAGTGAACGGCTTTCAACTTGAAAAGCGCCTAACTCCAAGTGGCACCATGAGTGTTCGTGTCAATCACGAGAATCTCGGGCGTGAGTCATCGATTCCCCCGCACGAAAATTGGAATGGTTTTAATCTAATCTAAAATTTCTTTGCTAATATGGAGTCTACATTTCTATCAGTCTGTTCTAAACAGCGAAAGATTAGTCTTTAAACGCAGCTAAATAATTTCCGCCTGAGTGCAACACCAAATCAACACGCCGCTAGTTGTATGTTAGTGAATATTTCATAATAGTGGTGTCTACGTTAGTGCGTGACAGTCTGTCACTCCATTAAGCAAGAAACAATAAAGTTCCGCAAAGAAACTTGTGAAAAACAAAAGTAAATGCGAGTTGAAAAGAGTTTCGTAAAATAAATACCTGTTTTAGAGTGTCTGTTTTCAAGGAGTGCGTGACTCGATATCGAGACCACGTGAGAACTCGTAGAAATGGAGATGCTTCGTGACAAAAGTCACGCATTGAGACCCTAATGCTGCTTTTTTCTGTTTTTAACCCCATTTGTCGAGAGCATATATGTTAAATGTAATTCAGGCTAAGTTGAGTCGATGTCTACCGCTACCTGTTGTAGTCATCTTTTTAAATGATAGCGTGAAGACAGAAATTTAGTAGCAAACATTTCTTCACATCTTTAGTGGCTATGGAGAG